TTTAATTTGCTAGCACTATATTTAACCCTATAACTTTCCAAGACACCATAAAACCTGTACATGGGGGGTACTATTTTACACGTAAGACTTTGCAAGTAAAGTGTTTAGATAAGAATTTCTTATCTCCTGCTCTGTTAAAGGAACACTATAGTCACCTAAATTACTTTAGCTAAATAAAGCAGTTTTAGTGTATAGATCATTCCCCTGCAATTTCACTGCTCAATTCACTGCCATTTAGGAGTTAAATCACTTTGTTTCTGTTTATGCAGCCCTAGCCACACCTCCCCTGGCTATGATTGACAGAGCCTGCATGAAAAAAAAACTGGTTTCACTTTCAAACAGATGTAATTTACCTTAAATAATTGTATCTCAATCTCTAAATTGAACTTTAATCACATACAGGAGGCTCTTGCAGGGTCTAGCAAGCTATTAACATAGCAGGGGATAAGAAAATCTTAATTAAACAGAACTTGCAATAAAGAAAGCCTAAATAGGGCTCTCTTTACAGGAAGTGTTTATGGAAGGCTATGCAAGTCACATGCAGGGAGGCGTGACTAGGGTTCATAAACAAAGGGATTTTTAACTCCTAAATGGCAGAGGATTGAGCAGTGAGGCTGCAGGGGCATATTCTATACACCAAAACTGCTTCATTAAGCTAAAGTTGTTCGGGTGATCAATTTTCCATTAGAGCCTGCAACAGATAACTGTGTGTGATTGAAGCTTAGTGCACAGAGCAGGAGATTTTAGAAAAACTTCTAAAGTAAACACACCAAGCTATAAGATATGACTGAAAATGAAAAAAAAAACTGCAGAGATATGATCTATACACCAACCCTGCTTTATTAAGCTAAGGTGGTTGCGGTGCTTAAAATAAAAACCTCATGTCATTTAATTGGTAATCTATTTTGCATTGTAATAAACAATTACATGAGCCATCAATCTAACAATTGGATATGTTTTACTGTACATCCCATTCAGATTGAAACCACAAAACATGAAGGATCCACAGAGACCATTCTATGTCACAAGGCTTGTTTGAAATCCTGTAGACTGTATTAGCTTTTTAAAAAACAAGTCATTTTAGAAATGAATTTTAATTTTCATTAGTAGAATATGGTTTGGCCACAACCGTCGGCTCCGTAGTGCTGAAGCCCACTTCATAATAAAATAAAAAAATATAAAAAAGCTGAGCATCCATGTTTTATTGTTTCCTAATATAAAATATGCAAAGAAAAACGTTTTAGGGACACTCTAAAGCAGGGGTGGGTAAAAGGTAGATCTACAGATGCCATAGAACTACAACTACCATGATGCTTTGTCAGCATTTAGCATGGCAAAGGATTAAGGAAGTTGCAGATCTACAACATATGGCGTTCTATCGTTTGCCTAGCTCTGCTCTTAACCAACAAGACCACTCCAGCCATCTTCAAGATAGGTCTGATATAGACCAAGGTCCGTCCCCATTTCAATCACATTGTCAATGTGAAATCAATTCATCATCAATGCCAATTAGGTTAAACCTGGCTCACACTGATTGGCTGAGAGTACTGGGGGTGTTCTCATTCAAACAATGTAAATCTAGTTGGGCAAAACAGACACTGATAACGTGGACATGTTAATTTAGGATTTAGGAAAATATCAGCCACTCACCGGCTACTTGTTTTATTACAACATGCTTTATATATGAATACGGCAAAATACATTTTTCTTCCTCTTTCCTTTTTACTGAGCTCTACTTATACACACAACATTCATACCTTCCCCATTCAAACACAACATTCCCACCCTGTGATCTGCATTTCCAAACAACATTCTAACATTGTGCTCTGCATTCACACACAACATTCCTACCTTGTGATATGCATTCGCATACAACATTCTAACAATGTGCTCTGCATTCACACACAGCATTCCCACCTTGTGATATGCATTCACATACAACAGTCTCACAATGTGCTCTGCATTCACACACAACATTCCCACCCTGTGATCTGCATTCACACACAACATTCCCATCCTGTGCTCTGCATTCACACACAACATTCACACCCTGTGCTCTGCATTCACACACAACATTCCCACCCTGGGCCACTATAGGCACTTCCTTTTAAATTGTTTATATTCCTAATGCTATACAGGGTTTTTCACTAAAGTGAGAATTCAAAGTGAATTTAAAATTCAAGGCCAAAGTAGCCAATATGGCTAAAAAGCTGGCTTAGATAATTTTTTAATGTTCGTCTATTTATACCTTGAATTTGAGAGTCACTATGAATTCACCTTGAATTCTCACTTTTAGTAAATAACCCTGATAATGTTCCTTTAATGCTATCGGAGGTATTGGCGAAAGTGAGAATTTTAACAGAATTTTACATTTAAGACCAGAGTAGCCAAACTGAACTCATAGCTAACTTAGAGAATCTTTCCAATTTGGCTATTTTGACCTTAAATTTTAAAGTCACTTTAAATTCAAGCCTCACTTTGTGAATAACCAAGTATTTGGTACTGTTAGAGAGATAGAAATATCACGTAGCACTAGGCCACAAACCCATTATGTTTTGCTTTGATAAATATTGCTCTTGGAGAACAAAATATGGGCTGGTTGTAACTCTTTACTCAGGTAATGTAAGTATCAACGCCTCTGATTTTAATATAAATTACAGTAAAGACATATTTTATCTGAGGTAATTGAATCCATTCCTACAAAAGGCAAAAGATCTTAACACAAACTCATAACATATAAAAAAAAATTGCATTCCATAAACCGCTCTTGTTTGACACAGAATACATTGAGTGAGTAACAGTATGAGGAAAATTCTGATATTTAATTTAAATTTTGATCATGATTTAATGATCATGTTTTTATTTATTTATTTTTTGAAAGTACGCTAAGATATTCTTTGTTTCCAGTCAGATTTCTTTTTTATTCAGATTTTTATGCGTAGCCTCTTTAACGCATTTCCGCTTCGCAAAGTCCCTTATCTGTAAATAGCAAAATAAGTCAGCTGGGGTAAGTGTGGTATGTGTCTGAAGTGTATCAAAGGACACTATCTGAGCCCTTCATATAAATGACAATATCTCTGGAGGCCTGCCCGTTCTGTATTTTGGAAGTCGCGGGCTGACATGCCTGGAGGGAAAGCCCGGTTTCTGAGTAATGGAGTGAGTGGGGACGGGGACGAGGATAAGCCAAATTTAAAAGCTATTGCATCCCAAATTCTGAGAGAGTTAAGTATACCTGGGCACGTGGACCATAATATCACTCTGCTATCCCGAGGAACCCACATATAATATTGGGGAAGATCTGCTCCTGTCACTAAGGATTCCAAGTCAACCCATTTTCTAACATCTGTTGGTACATGCCACATTGCTATCTGAGTAAGCTGCGCTGCTACCTAATAATAGTAAATGAAACAAAAAGAAAAGAAAGGAGAGGATGCACTGTCTGGTACTGCGATGATGGAATGCTGAAGGAAATTCTTGTAATAAACCTTAACTTTTAATAAAAACCAATCTCTAAAAAGTCTCAAAAGACAAAAAGAGACCAACTACAACAAAAAGCTAATAGTACTATTAAAATCTACATAAGAGTAGCAAAAGCTGGTCCACACTATAAAGTAGATAGTAAGTACCCCAAAAAAGGTCTAAAGCAGGTCACTTCAAAGAGTATCAATATTTAGTGGAGTAACAAAGTGACTGCTTTAGGGAAATTGGCAATCAATACTTTATATGTAAACTCTGGGGCTTTGGGGCACCGCTGTGTCCACCAATTAATTGCAGTACTCTCTGGCATTTTTAGGAACTATTATTTTAAGTTCTGCTTTTGTGACTTTTTCCACTACTCTCGTTATTATTTAGATTTTTAGTTTTTACCTATTTCATTAAGTGGGTGGTTGTTTCACTTTGGCATTACAAGCTAGGGTCATTTAACAGGGTTAAGGGGTGCCCTCGAAGGCACAATAGGGACAGTTATATCATTACTATTCACCAGCAATTTATCTCATTACTATTCACCAGCAATTTTTTGTAATTTTTGTTACATTTATTTTGTTACATTTATTTTGGCCATGTGCCTAGTTATTTTGGTTATTTTTCCTTTTCTTTGGCTGCATGCCTGAGAGTCATGAGTCATAGTGTTGCTTTAGTTTAGCCAGAGTTTACATATAAAGTATCGATCGCCAATTTTCCAAAAGCAGTCACTTTGTTACTCCACAAATATTGATACTCTTTGAAGTGACCTGCTTTAGACCTTTTTTGGGGTACTTACTATCTACTTTATAGTGTGGACCAGCCTTTGCTAGTCTTATGTAGATTTTAATAGTACTATTAGGTTTTTGTTGTAGTTGGTCTCTTTTTGTCTTTTGAGACTTTTTAGAGATTGTTTTTTATTAAAAGTTAAGTTTTATTACAAGAATTTTCTTTAGCATTCCATCATTGCAGTACCAGACAGTGCATCCTCTGCTTTCTTTTCTTTTTGTTTCATTTTATCACAGGGGTTACCCCCCATCTAGGAGGCATGTTTAGGCATTTATTATAATTTTTTTCCTTTTCCTTCTTTTTTTCTTTCTATAAGCTAATAATAGTAAAGAATCGGCAGTCCCAGTCCTCCCCTCATTTTAGGGCAGTAGATGACGTTTCTGGAGACCCTGTGCCTCTTGTTCTGCCATATGAACGAGCCTATAGCACTTTGTAAAGGGGCTAAGTCTGCTTTCGTAATCTTAATTGGGAGGGCCTGGAACAAGAACAGAATACGCGGCAATATGTTCATCTTCACGGAGTGAACACGGTCGATCCACGATATTGGTTTATCCGTCCAATTGTCCAAATCTTTAATCAATGTTTATGATAAGGGTCTGTAGTTAATTTCGAACCATTTACAGGGATCAGCCGTTAAATTAGTCCCTAGGTATTTGAGGGGGCACGGCGCCATTTGAATGTTACAAGTGGATTGGACGTATGCTGTGTCTGCCGCCGACATGCCCAAGGGGAGGGCGCTAGTTTTATTCATGTTCGCTTTATGGCCTGAGATGGAATCGTACGCCGCCAAAAGGTCCTGGAGTGCTGCCATAGACCCCACTGGGTTGGTAAGTGATACTAGAATGTCATTGGCTTATGCCAATACCATAAATTCTGAACCCCCGACCTGTGAATATCCGGGTTTTCACGAATAGTTTGCAGAAGGGGTTCCAACGATAGCACAAACAGCAACAGGGAAAGCAGACAAACCTGCCATGTACCGTTACCCAACTTAAAAGGCATATTCGGAGCTTCCGGGATACGAACCTGTGCAGTCACATTGCTGTACATTGCCCGTACCATAGTGAGATAAGATGGTGAGAAACCCAAAAAGGCAAGAAGACCAAAAAGATAGGGCCAGCTGACCCTGTCAAATGCCTTTTCGGCATCGAGGGAGACAAGTAAAGAAGGGGTCCTGGCAGTGGCTTGTCTCCAGATCTATATTCCTACGTGTTTCCTCAAATAATTGGCGCCCAGGTATGAAATCCACTTGGTTAAGTAGGGGTTCAACCTGTCTGGCCAGTATCTTCAAATCATGATTGATTAGAGAGATGGGGTGATAGTTTTCCGGCAACAGGGGGTCTTTGTCTTGTTTTGGTATCAGGACTATCGTAGCTAGAGACATATCCCTATCTGGGCACCCGCCTTCCCGTAAATCATTAAAGAGCAATTGAAGCATAGGGGTCAGATCTTCCCGAAACACCTTATAGTATCCACCATCAAAACCGTCCAGGCCCAGAGCTTTGTTCCCTTTAAGGGTCGAGATCGCATTGTCAATCTCCTCACTAGTGATCTTATCGACAAGCCTTCAAACCACATCTGGGTATAGTTTAGGTAGTTTTAGTAATGCCCTTTGGGTCGGTTTTTAATGTACCGTCTCTATGTCTAATACTCGTGATATGTGCCGTCTCTGGTTTGGCCGCAATGATCTTGCTAATATCGTATCCATTTTATTGGCCGTTTCGTAAAAAAGGTCCTCTTGGACCATAAAATTTGTCTAGCCGCGTCTTCCACGAGGAGGTCTCGGATTGATAACTGAACCACGTTCAATTGCGGTAGGGTGTCAAAAGCTTGGTCCGTTTTATGTCGTTGTTCCATGAGCGCTGATGTTTTTGCGCCTCTTTTTTATTACATTTTCAGTGTCAACATTATGAAGAAAAGTCAGGGATAGAAACGTATTAAAATAAACAAAATGACTCTATAGACACAGAGAGAATGCAGTCCTGCTACTGAACAGTTGCTATTTTAAAAGAAATAAATGGGCCATAGTTTAATTTCTAGCGATTCCTCCACTTTTATCTACAATCCCCTAGTGTGTCAACTTTGAAAGTAAATTGTAAAGATTAAAAATGTAGAAAAATGTCTGGGGTTTCCTTTACACTGTGTTTATTTCCTCTCTGACTCCCTGGGGAGAGATATGCTTAACGAAGATATGGGTCGCTAACTTCCGGGCCTCACAACCCAACAACATTAAACTGCGGCTGGTGGCATGATCTCTAAGGACACAAGCTATTTTAGTTTCAGTTGTTGCGGTTGTCAAAACAAATGAAAATACAAATGCAAATACTCTGAAGGAGCTTCCATAAGGAGTCCCTCAGCAGTGGGTATACATTACATTTGGTATGCCAAACTAAATAAATCGTTTACGTGGAAATTCCATTTGAAATGTAAAAAGTTAGACATAGTCCATATGTGCCAACTCACCCTGATTTCAATAAACAGTCCCTAGATGTGGCTTTCTGGCAAACAATCCTGCAATCCTAAATTTTGTTTCAAGTTTTAAAAACATCTACTGTTAACCCTGTATCCTGTGTACTGAGTTCTCCTCCAAGAGTATTACTTTGGATATGTTATAATAGCATAAAATATAAACGCCCTACAGGAAATAAATTTAGGAGACATGTTTCCTGAATGTCTCCTCGCAAAATAGTATGCACACACTACCTTGACAGGGAAGTTCTTCTGTCTACCAGTTTTTATGTTAGTACAGTTTCCAAAATCCATGGGGTAAAGTAAAAGCAGCTCTGTCACCGTCTGGGGCCTTTGTATATTTTGCAAAGACCCCCGATTGTGTGTGTGCTCTGATTGGTGTTCTGTGGCTGTGGGGTGCACGGGAAGGTGAGATTTACTTACCTGAATCTGTCTGTCGCAGCTGCCATGTTCATCCTGCTGGTCCTCTTCAGCTCCTGGGGCTTCATCCGCTAGGAGCTCATGTCAATGTTGTACTCTCGCGCATGCGTTAGAGTACAAAACTAAAGGACTGTGGAGGATCCCATGATGGAGCATCCATAGACAATGCCTTTATCCCACAGTCCAAGACTGAGGAAAGTGATCAAACTTGACGGCGATAGCTTCCCCTTTTATCAAGTTTTGTCAAGTGTAGGGAATTTACAAAGACAAAGCGGTCCCTACTCCTTTGACTGCATTTAAATCTATCTTTGTGAAATACTCATGGGGGGGTTAGAGTGCAATTTTAAGAGTTGCGGTTAAGCCAAAACAGGAGGGGACACATTTAAATAGTGTTGTTGTGAGAGAATTAGCGCTTTAACAAATTCATGAATATAGTTAGTCACATTCCTTGTTATTGTGAGTCCTAACATGCCATCGGTTCTAATAGGGTTAACAAAAACACTAGCGCTTTAGCAAGGATGCTTATAAAAACTTTAGGGCTGAAATGCCTAAAATGGACGTGGTTATTTACTAAATGAGAATTCAAAGTATATTTCAAACTTAAGGCCAAAGTAGTATTTTTACCTCGAATTTGAAATTCACTTTGAATTCTCACGTTAGTAAATATTCCTGATAGTCTCATCTCTATTAAAGCACTAGAATAAAAACTCTAATGAACTTTGTTAACTCCTCGCACAGTGAAAGAGTTAATGCTAAAGAAAATTGTTTATCGAGTTGTGGTGTAGCAAGAGTCAGAAATATCAGACAATCCGGTTTATGTATAAACAGAAATTCCAGGGCAAAGTTCTGAAGGTGGAGCAGTCACCATGGAAACACATGGAATGTTCCTGCTGATTGCTCCACGTTTAGAACTTTGCCCAGAATTGCACTTTATATAGACCAATAAAAGCAATCTTAGAGCAGCCAGGAATGTACAGGAGAGTACTGACTGTGTCAGCCCTGGACAATGGATTTTTAACCCCTTAAGGACACATGATGGAAATATTCCGTCATGATTCCCTTTTATTCCAGAAGTTGTGTCCTTAAGGGGTTAAATATAAATCCTGTATTTACGAGCTGTCTGTATCTTTAAATCTGACCCTGCCTATATCTCAAAGCTCAGCCCACAGGCACCATCCCAGCCTCCCTTTGTCGGTTGCCAGGAGACATAAACAAAGCTTAAGCGGAACGTAGTGACGTTGGACCTAACGTTGTGTCCATGGCAACAGCTGGAGTGTTTACCTGAGGCCTGGGAGCACGTGGGAGCCTGTGAACCATGAACAGCACAACAACTACACAGCTTTACAGCTAACCCTGCACAGCAGGAGCAGCACAAACATGTGAACACAAACAAAATGTAAAAAAAAACCCACCAAGTTTCAACCTATTCACAGTAGAACTCCATCAAGCTATGAATTATAAACACAGACAATTTGCTATGAGAACATGGCAGATTTCTTTATGAGGGGACCTTTAAATCATGAATAAATACATTTTTAGTATTTAATATTCCAAATACCTACATGGAGTTTAACTGTAAAACACCATAACTACCTACCTTATGGGACAGTCTGTCTCTGGTGTCAAATACCTCTCTGTCCCTGCTGTCTATCCTGGACTCTGTGGTTCACAGGACTGTGAAATATGTGGCTTGGAACTAATTGTATCTCTAATTTCCACAGCAATAAAATAATACAGTAATGTGGTAAGGTATGTGGGAGTGTATCACAGAGCATAAATAATTCACGCATTCAATGCATGCTATTAAATCAAGAATAACATGTGTGGTTTTAGATAAAAAATTGAGGTTTTAAATTTACTAATTTGCTTTATTTGCCATTACCGGACAGCCTTGTTTAGATGCCTCTGTTCCACAATTCTAGGATTCCAAAAGTACCCCAAAATTGCAGGCTGAGAGCATTGTTAGGTTATTTAAGAGCTCATCCACAAGCTGGGCATATGGCAGCCTTGGTTGGCTATCTGGCATTGTGCAATGGGCCCTGTAGCACCTGTAATGCAATTCTCACACTTTCTCTCCAGTCCTCGCCTTTCACCTTTTGGTTTCATACATCCCAATGTCGATGGGTATATTTCCCTTTCAGTAAGTAAATCCCAAGTTCCTATACAGAAACCCACTAATCAGCCAAGATACAGCACAAGCAGCTCTGGGTGGAATTTCCCTTCTCCCTTTATTTTTGCTGCCTGTTTATGTCTCCATTGGTTTAACATTGAAGAAGTGACTGAAACACACAGAGACCTGCATGTTGAAAACAATAAACAAACACTGTGAGCCTGTGCATTCACAGAATTCCTCAGGGAGCTTACATCATGACCCAGCCAGACAGGGAGGAGCGAGAGAGAAACAGGGGAGGAGGGTGCGGGAAGTGAGACACAGGGAACATGACAAGAGACAGAGGGAATCTATGAAACAGAAGGAAGAAAAGAAAGCAGAAGTTCCAAGAGCTTTAAAAACAAAACAGAGAAACAAACATACGAACAAATCCTGAAAGGATTCCGTACAAGCATGGGATTGTTTGAAAATTCTTTATTATGTCGTTTGTTCTGTACATGATGTGGGCCTAATATCAGAGAGGTGGAGGAGGTATAAGAAGCCTCGTCCACAGATGAACAATGTGTTCGAGATGCGCAAATCCATGATTCAGCATGACAAATAAACTTAATGTAGATAAATGCACATAGGAACCATTGTTTTTGCCATTGTTTACTACTGTATTGATAAGACCCACTTTACTGCAATATGTAATCCCGAATGAGCATTTCGCATGTGTCTCCTTTATTCCTTTTCAAATTTTCTTAAAAATTCTTCCTTGTATTTATTTATTTATAAAATATTTTACCAGGAAAGATACATTGAGATTTCTCTCGTTTTCACGTATGTCCTGGGTCCACAAATCATTGCATTGTTACATTAGGGTACAACAAAATACAAAACCAATATTAATACACAATATATACAAAATTTAACATAGAACAGGCAGGAAATATATAATCAACCATGACCATGGTGCATTCTGTTTTGAGGTATGTAGAGAGGGATCTCTTAAAGGACTTTAGGCTTAGGGAAGATTTTAAATTGTAGAAGATGTCTTGTGTGCTGTGTTATAATAAAGGTATTTAAAAAAAAACAACAACAAAAAAAACAGATACTTAGCCTTAAACTTGAAATTCACTTTGAAATCTAACTTTACTGAATAACCCTGTAAGATACTTGTCAAACACCTGTATAATTCTTTATCCTTTACCCTTTCTGAGATGTTGCCCTATACGTATTTTACCTAAGGTAAAAAACAAAAAATATAAATACGAACAGGCATTACAGCTCAATAGAGTGTCAGATGTTATTTTAATAGGTTTCAATGTTGCGCAGAGACATACTAAGGTAAAAATCTGTCCCCACAGCTCTCCTGAATCATGTATCTGTTATATGTCTTTGTTTACTGTGTGTCGTATGTTAACGAAAATAATCTATTTTGATTGTTCTCATTTTCAAGTATGTCCTGGAGCCTATGTACAAAAGAGCATTACAATTACAAAAAGTAAAAAAATAAATAATATATATATATATAATGAAATTGAAACATGAACACTGAATACAGCTGCATTTTAAATTTAGCTTTAAAGGACCACTCTAGGCACCCAGACCACTTCAGCTTTATGAAGTGGTCTGGGTGCCAGGTACCTCTAGGATTAACCCTTTTTTTTATAAACATAGCAGTTTCAGAGAAACTGTTTATACTGAGGGTTAATCCAGCCTCCAGAGCCTCTAGTGGCTGTCTCATTGACAGCCGCTACATGCGCTTGCGTGCTTCTCACTGTGAAAATCACAGTGAGAGCACGCAAGCGCCCATAGGAAAGCATTGTAAATTGTAAATGCTTTCCTATGCGACCGGCTGAATGCGCGCGCGGCTCCTGCCGCGCATGCGCATTCAGCCGATGACGTCGCGAGCAGGGAGGAGAGGAGGAGTACAGCTCCCCGCCCGGCGCTGGAGAAAGGTAAGTGTTTAACCCCTTCCTCTCTCCAGAGCCCGGCGGGAGGGGGTCCCTGAGGGTGGGGGCATCCTCAGGGCACTATAGTGCCAGGAAAACGAGTATGTTTTCCTGGCACTATAGTGGTCCTTTAATGAAACAGTGATATTTAGATATTTCAGATTGAGGGAATTGTGCATTTGTTCAGTAAACAAAGAGGAGAGGTTTTTTTTGTCATTGAAAAGCGATTTAAAAAAATGACCTGCCTCTGGGGCAACAGAGAGAAATGCAGCGTGAGTGCCTGTTTAAATACATTTACTTTTGCAAAAGGGAATCAATTCTTCCTTTACAGTCAGGCAGTAACTTGCAAATTGCGTCAATACCACAATCACTTACTAGACGCAAGCACATGTTTATTTGGTAGGCTTCGTATAGTTCCTGCAAGATTGTTCAATGTCTGCAGATCTCTGTAGGAGAAAACTACACAATTATCTACAAGATACAAAAATATAATGAAGTATAATACAGTGGGCAGCCAATCAGGAGGTAAAGAGCATGTGCATGCTGGGAAATATTACTATTCTAAGAACAAGAAAAAGGGGATATATGCACAAATATGTTAATTACCTATTTATCCACCCATCTGTCTATCTCAGTATAGAAACAAATGTATAGATAGTAGGGTTTAGTACACAGTAAATTTTAGTGAGTGGAGAAACACATTTTCAAATATTTTTTAAAAGAAATTTTTGTTCAAAAATGTATGGTGGAATTTTAGGATTAATGTGGCTAGTTTGCTCTAATTAAAGACAATTATGAGCTCACCATAAACTCTTTGTTTACTGAGTAGGGCCTCTAGAAAATAAAGAGATGTTTTCTTCGACAGAATCACAGTTTCTGTGAGCTGCTGTCACTTTCTGCCCACAATGCACACATTTCCCTCTTTTATTGGTCTTATCGAAGAACAATGTTAGCATCGATTCAAGTGCAGCCTTTAGTATATATTCTCTATAATACCCCCCCCCCCCCCTTTAACGGGAGTTATGGTCACCCTAGAAATACCAAATCTCACTGCAAATTATTTCAGTGAATAGAATGACATGGTAACACACAATTATAGCATAAAGAGTACTTCATCTAAATAAGGTTGTTTAAAAAAATAAAAGCAACACACATACCTGCCAACCAACATGCTTTTACAGAACACATTATGTTTGTTATTCCAGAGATTTTTTTTCAAATGCATCCATTACTTGTGTTGTCTTCTAACCTATGGTTTTATCTTGTTTTATTTGTAGATGTCGAGGCAGCAACCTTTTTTTCCATTAATATGACTTTTGTATGGCATTGGGACTAAAAAAAGAAGACCTGGCACACTTTATCATATTGCTAAATCTGTATGAAATAAAAACTGCTTATTTATTAATAAATACCTTCTTTTATCAAATAAGCTCATAATTATTATTATTATGATATTTATAGAGCGCCGCCAAATTCTTCAGCGCTTTACAATGGGTGGACAAACAGGCATGTAGTTGTAACCAGACAAGTTGGACACACAGGAACAGAGGGGTTGAGGGCCCTGCTCAATGAGCTTACATGCTAGAGGGAGTGGGGTAAAATGACACAAAAAGGTAAGGATAGTATTAGACTAGTGACAGTTGCAGAAGAGGAATCAGTCAGGAGCTATTAACAGTTTAATTGATACGCTTTTATGAAGAAGTGGGTTTTTAATGATTTTTTGAAGGAGTGGAGACTGGGTGAGCATCTAACGGAGGAGGGAAGCGAGTTCCACAGGAACGGTGCAGCCCTCGAGAAATCTTGAAGGCGAGCATCAGAGGTGGGAGTACGGACAGAAGATAGACGTAAGTCTTCAGCAGATCGTAAGGGCCTAGACGGGACATACTTGTGTATAAGGGAGGATAGATAGGTGGGAGCAGCATTATGTAGAGATTTGAAAGCAAGAACCAGAATTTTAAATTGAGCTCTATATTTTATAGGAAGCCAATGTAGGGACTGACAGAAGGGTGAGGCATGGGAGGTGCGGGCGGACAGGAAGATGAGCCTCGCCGCCGCAATCATTATGGACTGTAACGGCGCTAATTGGGAGCACATAAGACCACTGAGAAGCGGATTACAGTAGTCAAGGCGAGAAAGGACAGTGGAATGGACCAACACCTTAGTCGCATAATCACTGACTTGCTCAGCGTACATGTACTTTGCATAAAGCCTAAATTGGACCAACTACAAATGGATCATTTAGGAGTATTCCAAGAAATGTAGTGGGTCCCTAGACTAAAAAGAACAAGGGAACTATCAAGGGCCTCAACGTCGTTCTGTGTGAGGACAGGATAGGAGATTTTAGTTTGATGACAGGATAGGAGATTTTAGACCTAACAAAATGCAAACACATCATTTTTTAAAAAACATTTTTTGCATTTAGCATAAGGAGTAAATAGAGAAAAACAAATACAGAGTTGGTAGTACATTTCATAACTCTGCAAATATATTTAAACATTTGAATAATTTTTGCATGTTAAGAGACCCCAAACTATAGATACATAGTAATTGCTTTAAATACGCTATCTTGTGCAAGTGATATTAACCATGTGCACTTTTATTTACAGTAGCCCAATTATTATTCCTACCTTGGTTTTGGAAACTTAAGTTGTCAATAAAGGCAATTTACATGTAACATTATTACAATTGTTTTTCACACATTGTACATTTTTACAATAATTAATTAAACTATAGCTACTTAATATTTGCCTCTGTTTATCTACAACAATATTATGTTTGTATGGCACTTTTTTACCCTACCCTTACCTTTTGTGTCATTATAATCCACTGTAGAATGTGAGCTCATTGAGCAGGCCCTCAACCCCTCTGTTCCTGTGCCTCCAACTTGTCTAATTACAATTATGTGTCTGTTAGTCCTTCTATTGTACAGCGCTGCGGAATTTGTTGGTGCTTTTGGAATAATAATAGTAATTGGAATTCACTGAGGGACTGGGTACCTATTTTATTGCTGAAAACAGTGAAGATTTTGAAGTTATTTATGCAGATTCAGGTAATCAATCCATGACCCTGGGCACAGCAGCAGTTTAAGTGCCACCTGTAAAAAATTTACATTGTGCTTCCTGTTTTTATTAGTGGTAGCAAATCCATTTAAAATGTAAATTAAATTAAAAAAATACATTAAATAAATAAAAAATAAAATATTATAATTGTGCTCCAGATGAGTAAATGTCAGAGAATTTTATATTTATCAGTTTTGCTGTGAATACCGTGGAGCAGGCAGCTTACCTTTACCTCTTGACACCTAATCCCTATAACTGGTGATCATATAAACACTGCTGTGAAGACATGGTTCTGTTTTAATGCTGATATTAAACGCATGTTATTTTTCTGCTGATATTTAATGATCACCAATGAAATAGGTTTCCTCCTACAAACCCAACGGTAGTTTATTTTCATACAAAAAAAGATCTGTCAGCTCACTATGCCCAACCCAACCAGCTCGTGGCATCCTGGCTCATATTGGTCTCTAAAGCTGGTCTCTAAGGCAAAATCGAGGACTGCTGGTGTCCATTGAGGACTGGTTTGGGAGCCAATGGATTAAGAAGCCCCGGTTTTTTTTACATAATAAGTCATCCAACTCCGAGTCCATCTATACAGTGTGCAGTTTACAATATTTACAAAGATATACATACAAATACTATAATACTTGGAAAAACACTGCTTTTCTGCAAATCAAGGAAAAATGTATGTTACCGTTTGGAAACAATCGCATAAACACATATATCCTGAGAGGCAGAGGGGATTTAGGAAAACCTACAAACAACATCTGGTACTCGCACCTGTGAAAATCGATAAACATATCACTAAACAACATTTTAAAAATGCTGTAATAGCTTAACTAGGATTACACACATAACAAAGAATAAAAAACATTGTGTTAACCAACACTAGGGACTAGACTTGAAAATATGAGACAGATGGCATGTATGGCAATGAGCCTGATCAGGAAGTAACAGGACCTTTTGTCTGACAGCCAGGGAGTGCAAAGAAATCGGCACTATTTGTAAAATGAATAGGAGAGGACACATTTTTTTTACACATAAAACATTTCAGCAAGCTAAAGTGGTTTAAGGGTCAGGAGCTATGATACAGCTGATAGGAAAGCATTAAATCGAATACTTTCCTCTAAGAAGCATTTGATTGGATAGGAAATTGGTGCTTGAGGCGCATGAGCATCACATCCCCAGTGCTGCTCTATAAGCAGTATTAGATTGGACCATTGCCAAAAAAACAACACCTCCAGGTTAGCGTTGCAGGAGGTGGAGCGAGCAGCAGCAAGGTCGAGGGAGTCTCGGCACTGGAAAAAATAAATGCAAGCAAATTATTATTTTTTTAAACTACTTTTGCTGCAGTAAGGGGCAAGGGTCTCTCTAATCCAAATAGGGACTAGGGTACTATAGCATTAGCAATACAAATTTGTATTCCTAACAAAATAGTGTTTTTTTAACCTAAATTTTGGAACTCTGATTTCAATTCGCTACAATTCAGAGTTTAGTGAATAACCCAGTACTACATACTCAGCCCACTGTTTGCCACGTGATAACAGGCAATTGTTTTATTTTGCATAATTTCCATCTATTACCGACCACAATGTATTTTAATATTTGTAAGACATAGGGTATAACTGTAACCTTCTGTGTTTTCCAGGGGTGGTCAGTGATGGGAAACTAGGTCGGGTGAGCTGCCTAACTAGTCCTCACAGTATCTCACACATAGTAAAGTGTACATCGCTATGGAATTTGATAGCGCTTTATAAATAATAAAATAATAATAAAGACAAAAAGGGGAACTGAGGGCACACCCGGAACATGCATTTTTCAGCAATGGTGATGCTGTAGAGAACAGAATTTACACATAACAAAGATTAATGATCAGAGCGCACACATAAAAATACAGTTTTAAATTTTACAAGGCTACTTAAAATCACTTACCTCAGCAAACAATTATGGGATCATTTTCACCACTTGACCATATCATGTTAAGCCCACTACTACGCCAAAGTATCCCAATATCAGTGGGACCTACACGTTGGAATTAGTGTAGGACCCGTCGTACAGAGCAGGGGATACAAACTTATAAAACAAGTTAACATCTGATTGAAAATTAAACCATTTTCTTAATGCAGGCGTGTCAGTCACAGCCAGTGGAGGTGTGGTTAGGACTGCATAATATAAAAAAAAAAAAGGGATTTAACTCCTAAATAGCAGATACTTGGGCAGTGTGACTGCAGGGGCATGATCTATACCAAAACTGTTTCATTCATCTAAACTTGTTTTGGTGCCTATAGTGTCCCTTTAAGAACTGCTCTATGGCTTTTTTTTTTGGTGGTGGTGGGGGAATCTCAGTCTTTATCTCTATCAATTCAGAATTAATATTCAGACTGATTAATAGAGATAGCATGGATCAAGATTCTGAACCTCAAACACACCGGATACTATAACATACTACTCCCATCAGACTCTGTCACTAAAATCCTGACTATGCATACTGAGAGTGGCAGTCCAGAGCACGAGGATTTCCACAGGCTGCCTACCGATAGATATACAGATAATAAGAAGGCTTATTGTAAACTGATAATCGATTGAAGAAATAGAGCGACCCGAAGAAATGATTGACTAAATCAATACTACACGGATGCATTGCAATACCTCCAACATATTCCATAGCGCAGTACAATGTTACAATCTGACAGCTCATTAGAATGGCACTATGTAGGAAAATGTGTTTAATAAAAGAGACGGCATCTCATCATCTCTTTTAAAAAAACAATTTACTTTTAGTTCCAGAAAATGAATAAATAACCTAATTTCAAACAACAATATAAAGTTAAACTGATAGATAACAAATACAGCTAATCTTTTAACCCTTGAGAACCAATGCCACGCAGTTACTGTGTCCCCTTTGTCAGGAAAGGGTTAACGCCAGGTTCCAGCTGTGTGACATGTATCGAGTTGTATCCTGCGTTCTACGTACAATGTAACTGTTTCAGGGACCTTGCTATGACCATTCTATGACTAATCCACAGCACCATATAATCAGATTGCTCCCAGTACCTGGACACCTGTAGGGAACTTACTTTATACATTGTGGGAGGGGAGGGGGTTATCCCAGGATGCAGAACTCCAGCTGGTGCAGAACTCCAAATCCCATGATGCTGTGCCAGAATGACAGCAGGTCCAGCATCATGGGAGCTGTAGTTGTGACACAGCTGGAGGGCTACCTCTAGGTCACCCTTGCTCTAATACTCATAAACTGTTTTTTATAGAAGCAGCACTTTCCCAGCTGATCAATATACACTCTCAGCTCTATATATAGTCACAGACTTCTATATATGTGTTGGTTTCTGTATATTTGTTCTCCTCTGCCTCTATGTCCCTTCATCTTTTTTGTAGAGCATAGTAAAAGCGTGCTACTAATAATACTCTGGCTGCTCTGCCTAGCAGAGAGCAGGGATTCCCTCTTACGTCAGTGCTAGGTAACCAGATAAACATAGCAAAGACAACACCTTATATGGCTATGTACGTCACAGGAACTCCACTGGGGGGGCGGACCTTCTTCAAGCTCTCTTCTCCTATATCTAGGTTTCTGCTGCACCTAAACTCCTGATTTTCGGCAGGCAGGCACTGCAGGGGGCTCAATATCTGCCATCCAAATTTCAGGGTTCTGGGTGCCCCCGATCCTGAGATATTGGTAGGGGGAAGGGGGGTGACGTCAGTAGGTGTGGGCTTCTCAGTATAAATATGCTCAGCAATCAGAGTTTCATTCATAAATCTGAGAGCTGAGACTGGGGCAGCATCTAAGCAGCAGTGTGGGATTTTATAATCGGATTTGGACTACTGATACAACGTTTTCACTCCTTTCCTGGTATTAGCACAACAGCACCGAATTCTGCTTTATTTTGGAATTTTTCAGCATTTTCTTATGGGACATACCTTGTGAGCACTGGCATCTATGGGGGATCTCTAAAAAGAACACATTGAATGAATGGGAATCCCTTAAAGAAACCTTCCTGGACAGAAGAGCAGGAGGATTAATTGCTGGATTTTTACTTTTAAACTTGTTTCAGACCAGACCTGACCGAATTTGAAGGATTGGCACTGGCAGAGTACTTTTTCATATTATTATCTTTATCACTCTATTATTTGCCTAAGGAGGCAGATAATGCTGCAAAGTTAAGGTGGATTTTTATTTTTGGATTAACTCCAAAAGTAACAGAACTTTGGAAGGAGATCTGACTGTCAACACAAGAGGTATCCCCACCCCCCTTTTTTTTTTTTGAATGAAGCTTAGCATGATTTAGATTCATAACAGTGTATTCTAATTGACAGTATCAGGGAGGTAGAATGAGGACACAAACTAGTTTGTATAACATAGGATTAAATTGAACTATTCTTTTACCAGTGCAATTTAAAACATTATTCTTAGGTTAATAAGACTAAAAGGATTTTTAATTTATTTTTTATTTGCAGAAATAATATATCCAACACAGCATTAATTAGATTTCCAAGTATATGTAGTTCTATTATTATTATTATTATTATTATTATTATTATTATTATTATTTATATATATATAAAATTTATTTTAAAATGATTTTTTAAAAATATATATATATTTTTTTAAAGAAGTGTCAGAACTTGCTTTTGCATAATTATTGTATTTATGAAAAATGTGGGCTTTTCCCTTACTTTAAACAAAACTATTTGGTTTAAGTCCATCTTCTAAATATAACATCTAGGATTTTAATTTATGGTTTTGTGGGTGTTTCTGAAAAAAATAAGCTTTTATTTTGGGCTTCTCTTCCAGATATTTGTGAGATTTTATTTTCTTGTGGGCCTAGAATTTGCCCAACTCCTACAAGGAGATGTACCAAGGATACGATTCCTCCAGCTCTTCCCCTTCTGCAGAGTCTCAATACCTGTCTTCAGTGGATTCTTTTGGAAGCCCCCCCACAGCTTCTGCCCAGCAGGTGAGTCTTTGAGGTCATTACCTAGATGAGACTGATGTCACAGCCAATGGGGGAGTGTAAGGCATGTTGCTTGGCTGCCACAGGTATGTAGAAATCACAGTTTTCACTATACTGGGCATTATGGGAAATGTAGGCCGCAGTCATGCCATCATTGACATTGGCACGCAAATGCATGCACACTAACCCTTTCTAGCTGATATTAAAAAGGTCAATCAAATAATTAAGTTCTGTGCGCCTTTACGGGAAACACCAGATTAAAGGACAAGCGTCACGTACGTGATGGTATTAAAATGGTTACACCCAGGGGTTCTGTATTAATTAACCTTAAACTCTGAGTTACATAAATGTGCACAGACAGATAGGGATTGGCACCCTGTGGCACTCTGTCATCACTTGGTGCGCAACAAGCTCTATAGCCAGTTTAGTATTATGGGAGTTGTAGTCCCCAGCAGGTACAGGATCATGTGTTGTCTCTACCTGCCTGTAATCAAAAAGTGTTAAACTCTCATGACCTCATTACGTACTATAATAAATAAGTAGATTTTTTTTTATTTCTTTTCATCTTCTAGTTCTGGTTGGAATGCATGTGGCATATTTTTCTTACAATTTAAGTTTTAAGAGAAAATTCACAAGTTAGCGCTATTTTATTTTCCAAATAAGCGGTTCCACAGATTTCAAATGCAGATTCCCAGTTGCAAGGGAGCATGTAAAAGCTTTAAGGGTTAATTCTTTAAGTTTGAATTGTTACAAATTGAAATCCGTATGGTAAAATTTAGGCAGAACTACTTGATCTGAACAAATCCTGCAACTATGCTAAAGTTGCAACTTGGCTAATTTTTCCTAAATTGTGCTATTCGGATTTCAATTCAACAAGTCAGACTTTAGTAAGTAAACCCTTGAAATACATGAACTGGTATATGGGTGTATACATGTAAATGCTATGGCATATGTCTGGAATCTGACTATTGTAGCCATCATCCAGATATAACCCCATTCAAGACCAGGTTTAGAGAGATTCTCTTATATACTATTATATAATTGGCCGTGAACAAGTTAACGTGAAAAATAATTGACTTAGAAAGTAATGTCACCCATTAGTCAAGCAGTGATCATGCTCACTGATGCACTCATTCAGTTAATAGTAAGTAGAAAAATGAATTGTAAAATTTCCCCCCAAATAGCTGTGTGTGTGTGTGTGTGTGTGTGTGTGTGTGTGTGTGTGTGTGTATATATATATATATATATATATATATATATATATATATAATGTAAATTTATTTATTATTTTTTTTAAATATTGCCATTTCCCAAATCTTACATACGTAAAGCTACGATTGGGCACGTGTTTTTCAAAGTCCTCAATGTTAAATGAAATGTTTGGCTTTGACAGTTATTGGTGATATCTTCACCAAACATCATGTAAACGACCGTGGCCAATATTTGTATGTATCAGAAAAGATCCATGCTTTGTAAATTTACCCCATAGCTGTTTCTTCTCTAAAAAGTGAGTTGTGGTACTTTTCACAAAGTTTAGGACAAAATTGCAAAGTTCTACTACTTTAACAGTTAGCCTATTTTGACCTTTTTTCTACGAGCAGGATTCACTGCGTAATGACTAAATCTCTTTTGAAATTGGAAGAAATAGTTAAAACATTTTTAAACCAAGGCTTATTTTGCAACCATTCCATACCATGTTTACAGTTAGTGTTTGCATTACAGAGAGCTATGATATAGCCTATATGTATCAAACTAGGTTCAGAGTCACGGGGTGAAAGTTGCCATATTGTTTTTGGTGTGTGTTATGGTCTCTTGATAGGCTTGTGAATTTTGCTTAAGACATTTAGTACATCTCCCAAGCTTGTGCATCATGACACAAAATATAATTTTAATAATGAGGAATGTGCATATATTGCAGTATGCCTATGAAACGATGATCATGTCAACATTGTTTTAACCCCTTAAGGACCGAACTTGTGGAATAAAAGGGACATGTCATGCGTCCTTAAGGGGTTAAAGAAATGTACAAAAATTAAAGTTTAGTATTCTAAACCGTAAAACACGGACGACATGAGTTTAACAGGGTTGCTCAATAAGGCGAATCGCTAACACATAAATGGCAAAACTGAACTTAAAAGACGTATAATTAGTCGGTTAGGTTATTTTGGCCTGAATTGTATATTTTTGGAAATTTGAAGTAAATTTTGACATTTTAATAATTCACTTTGTACAAGCTATTCTACGCCATGCAACCCTAAATGATTTATTTTCATAAAAAAAAAAATACAATTATTTATGTATAACTATAACGAATAACCTTGTGATGTTAGTAAATATATTAATTTATTCTACTTTATGTAAGAATGGAAAAAACCCAGCCTGTATGACTTTCAAGATAAATAAACCTAAAATCACAACATTTGAGGGTCACACTATATTTGTGTGTGATATTGCTATCATACTTGGCTATATTTCATGACTTTTTGTAAAGTTCATTATTGGCATTAATCATTATAGCTCCCTATGAGGGTTGTGCGTTCAGCTGTTGCTAATAAAGCTGTTACAAACCCAGCGTAGTAAAGAGCTGGTCATAGCGATGAGTAGACGCAGCGCAGCGGGAGTGGGCGTGGTTGACGTACGCTGCGTTCCATGCGTGCTTCCTGACGTGCGGGATGTCCCCTGGGTGACGCCGCGTTCTATTTTGGAACGCAGCGCCGGCTGAGCGAGCCCTGGGACGGATATACTGATGCTGCTGATGTCATGGGAGCTAGGACTGGGGAGGGGGGATTAGGGGGAGGAATATTAATAGGAACACGGTTTACAGGGACGGGTTTTAATTGCAGGTTGATGGGAGGATTACATCGGACTGAGGAAGATGGATAGGGATCAGGAATAGGGCATGAAGGGGCAGGATAGGCTCTATGGCAGTGGCAGATAGAGAGACTAGACTGATGGGGGTGGAATAGGGGCCAGGGATGGGGCCAATGGGGGTGGAATAGGGGCCAGGGATGAAGCAGTGGGGGTGGAATAGGGGCCAGGGATGGAGCAGTGGGGGCGGAATAGGGGCCAGGGATGGATGAGCAGTGGGGTGGAATAGGGGCCAGGGATGGGGCCACGGGGTGGAATAGGGCCAGGGATGGGGTCAATGGGGTGGAATAGGGCCAGGGATGTAAAGCCAATGGGGGTGGGAATAGGGGCCAGGGATGGAGCAGTGGGGTGGAATAGGGGCCAGGGATGGAGCAGTGGGGGTGGAATAGGGCCAGGGATGGGGCCAGGATGGAGCAGTGGGGTGGAATAGGGGCCAGGGATGGAGCAGTGGGGTGGAATAGGGGGCCAGGGATGGGGCCAATGGGGTGGAATAGGGGCCAGGGATAGCCAATGGGGTGGAATAGGGCCAGGATGGGGCCAATGGGGGTGGAATAGGGGCCAGGATGGAGAGCAGTGGGGGGTGGGAATTGGGGCCAGGGATGGAGCAGTGGGGGTGGAATAGGGGCCAGGGATGGAGCAGTGGGGTGGAATAGGGGCCAGGATGGGGCCAGGGATGGAGCAGTGGGGGTGTGAATAGGGGCCAGGGATGGAGCAGTGGGGGGGTGGGAATAGGGGCCAGGGATGGAGCAGTGGGGGCGGAATAGGGGCCAGGGATGGAGCAGTGGGGGCGGAATAGGGGCCAGCGATTGGAGCAGTGGGGGCGGAATAGGGGCCAGCGATTGGAGCAGTGGGGGCGGAATAGGGGCCAGCGATTGGAGCAGTGGGGGTGGAATAGGGACCAGAGGTGGAGAAATAGGGATCGATTAGTGATGGAGTGTTCGCAATGACAGACTAGTAGTTGTCAAGATGGGACTAGTGATGGAGATAGAGTAATGATGATGTGGTGATTTTAATGATCGGACAGCAGTGGAATAGAAGCCGGGGGAGGGGGTTGTAATGGTGGAGAAGGAGTGACTGAGTAATGATGGGGCAGTATTAGGGGCTAGTTATGGAGTGGGCATCGAGTGCTGTATAGGTGCCAGTTTGGTGGAATATGGTGTATTGAAGGAGTTGATAGGTTAAGCAAGCAATGTTGAGGGAGTGGTAGGGTTGGGTCAATGAAGGGGCAATAATAGAGGGGCATGACTAATAATATAATACTGGGTATTGAAAGAGGAAAGTGCTGAAGAAGGGTCAAGTAATGGCATGTGGGTAAGGATGGGGCAGTAGAAGTGTGGGGTATATTGAAGGATTTTTAATACTGGAGATGGCACTGTATTGGTAGTGATGAAAGTAATGGTGGAAAATATGGCAGTGATGGGGTTGCAGTGGCAGAGATGGAAGTAGAATGTATTTTTGGTTGTGATGAAGTATTGGTGTAGAAGATGTGTAAAGCAGGACATTTATATGTAACATTTCGCTGTATACAGTTCTGTTCAGTGTATGTAGTATTGATCCAACCATGAGCAATGCTCAAATCTACTGCATGTATAAACTCTACTTACACCTTTTAAACAATATACAATGTGCAGTACTAAAAGTGGCAACATATGGTGATGCTATGAAGGAATGGAAACATTTATGATAATGACACAGTGCACCCGGGAAAAGCATATATACATCAGTGACTTAGCTTGCCTTTTTTTATATTTTCAAAAAGATTACGAAAGAAACAATGTTTGGTGATTTGCTAAGAGGTACATGAATTTCATTATTAGTGTTTGAATTTTGAGCTCTTGAATTGTTACCAACTGGTACAAATGTTGGTACGTATAAACAAGTGAATTTAAAATAAAGACTTTTTCACACTCTATGGTGAATCTATTTGTCCACCTACATAATCTACTCTCCCCCCCTTTTTTTTTTTCTTTACCCCTTTCTGGATCCCATAGTTTATGACTCACTGTGCTGTCAAAGACAATAGGCTCCCAAACGTCAGAAATAGGATATGATCAATTAGGGATGGATGATAGATTTACTGAAAGCTTAAATAGAAGAAATAGACTTTTTTTTTTTTTTTTTATAAATCCAGCTCCTTTGATGTGAATAGTTTTTATGTCTCCAAATTCACCATTTATTTTTTTTCTGTTACATCTGGACCAAGCACAAAATATAACTGCCAGTGTTGGGACTAGCTACTCTTACTCAGATCTGCATCTCTTCCACTGCTTAAAGCAATTTTGCTTCTTACTGCAGTCATCTAACCTTTTGAGGACCAGATGGTTCCTTCGTTGAAAAGCTTGAGTACAGCTACATGTGCCATGTCCCATATCATCCTCTTCACAATCCACCAGGATTTTCATCTCTTAAAGAAGTGTCCATATTTCCACCTTCGTCAAATTTCTGATCTTATCATTATAAATGTCATAGTTGAACGCTCTCCTATCCAACCATTTCCTAAAGACCCTTCATCTCTCCTTGTTCTCCTTCTCCCACAAATGCTCCAGTCCAGAGTATGCACACTTTGCTTGAACTGCTTTCTCCAGTCATCTATCCTTCCCCACCAATGTTCCTTTAGTTGGACCACGTGCTCCCCCACGCTAGAGGTTCACTATTCGCCAACATTTGCTTGTCATTGTCTGTATTAACACTTCCAGCTTCATATATTTGTCCTCTCTAACAAAAATGGCTAAATTAACCCTCACATTCAAATTGCTGTTACTGTTTCATTAATGAACTCCTTTATGAGGTGACTTGTTTTCAAGCCATATTCTGTTTTTTCTTATCTTCGTTTTAACTCTCACACAAAAGATTATTATAGGTGTTTCCTTCATTAACAATAAATTAACCATCTGTCCTACCAGGATGCGTCTATTGTACTGACATTTGTATCTTTACTTGCTGTCTAAACCTAGCCTTTTCTCCTTTTTTTTTTTTTTTTTTATTGTGATTGTGCTTCTCCTAATTATTTTAGGCTTACTGCATTACCCTCTTGTCCTCTACTACTTTTCCTTCGATGACCAACCTTCTTCCCATCTCCAATGAGCAATACTTCTCTTTCATCTTCATAGTTCCCTTGTTTCAGTTTCCTCCATATTTCATTCTCTAACACCATCTCTCCCACCAGGAGTTGCCATCTCTTTCATGTCTCCCCGATCCCACCAAGAGCCAGGCCCTCTTATTTTATCCAGGTATTGCTTTATTTCTACTTGTACTCCCTTCCAACCTTAGTATGAAATCCCAATCCTCATCTGTCGTCCGATACACTAGTGTTGAGGTGGAGATACTTGTACTGAGATGCAACAAGTTGGAGGATTCTAATGCCAATGAAACAAATCTCTTGCCTTCCTTTGCAATTCTGTTGAGAGAGACCATGTACTCCATTTAGAGAGTCTTCGAAGATTGGAACAGGGGCATTTAACCTTGGCAAGCTGATCATCATAAAACCCTAGTCTGCATGCTTTTAGGGTACCAAGATAGGCCATCATAGCTTAAGGACCTGCTCTATAGAGCAATAGAGAATGCTGTCCCTCAGTAAAATATAATCAATGTGGCTTAAAAGATTTGTCCCAAAGACATTTATGCATTGTTTTTGTTTGTTGGAAACAGAGGTTGTTGTACAGCCAAACTCTTCACCTCTTTCTTGCATAAGGCTCTCTATTTTTCTCTTGTCAATCTCTGCAATAACCCTCTTGATCCATTCATCCAGTCTTTAGAAGCTGACCCCATGTTTCCTCTTTCTTCTGCAGGAGTGTGTGGCTTTATGTGATGTCCCCTCCTCTTTTGTCCCCACTGTTACGGCCATCACAAGTAGCCAAGATCTCCAGTGGCTGGTCACCCCAGCTCTCATCTCCTCTATGGCTCAGTCACAGCCTACGCCAGGTCCCTCTATTGACCCCTATGATCTACCAGGCCCCAGTTATTCTTCCCCGTCTGGAGCACCGTATGGACCAAATCTACCAGCTTCCACGCTAGGTCAAGAGGAAACGCGTCCAACTCGGGCACGGGGCAAGAGAACCAGGGAGGAAGCTGTAAGTAGAACCTGAAGGACTATACAGTAGGGAATCATATTGGCAGTTGAGGCAAATGATCTATAAATGCAACTGTATGTGTTCGCACAGAAAAGATGCATTTTAACATGGAGCGATTATGAAAACAACTTTTTAAATGACTGTATGCACTTTATTTATGCTTTTTATCTACCTTCAGCTAACACCAGAAGAAGAAGAAAAGAGACGAGTGAGGAGGGAGAGGAACAAATTGGCAGCTGCTAAATGCAGGAACCGAAGAAGAGAGCTGACTGATCGACTACAGAGTGTGAGTGATTATTTTGACACTGTGTATTTTTATGTATCTTTGTACAGTACACACCGTGTAATCCACTTTTTACACATATACACAAGAGGATGGATCTGTCTGCCATGATAAGCAATAGGGTTGCTCCCAAACTCTTCTATTTTTAAAATGTATTCATTCATTTAATTTATTTTTAAATCCTGCTTTGCATAAAATGCAAAGATATATTCTGGCACAGCCTGGCATCTGATGCAAATTATCCTTATTTTATGATTTTTGTGTACATTGCATTATCTGAAGAAGATGCTCACAGTGCACACACAAACAATGCAACATCCAGATATCAGCACTGTTGGGAATATATTTACCTATTAAGCACAAATCACTGTGGTAACCATTTCAGCATTTACTGGTACAATCATCAATAGAAAGTTGGTTATACTGTCCATCGGGGATGGCTAATACGTTCTCCCACAATGCAGTTGTGACAGCTTTTTAAGAAAATGTTTTTATTTACACGCTAATCAGATGCACTTTCTGACATCCAAGTCCAGCTCACACATCTAAACAATAGTCATTTCCATCACACATCTAGACACTTGTGATAGCACAGTCGAACTAGCTTGATGGAAATTCTTTAATATGAAATATTCCAGAGAACCTGTATGTAGCCATATAGAGTATATATTTTTTTCAGAATCCTCTTATGTTAAAAAGAACCAATATGACTCTCAGAGTTGAGAGAATATTACAATTTGGGCTTTTCCCTTAAATTTACACTTCACGCACGGTTGACATGAGTGTGGCATAGATGTATACAGTGATTTTGTGACCCTTGCTTCCTTCTCCATGTTATAAATTACAAATATATAATCTATTACAGGAGGGTTTCTGCTGGTAATAATGTGCTCTCATGGCTCTGGCAGATAACTCTGAAGCCGGGGCATTGTAAATAAGGCATGTTTGGGGTTAGTTTGTTTCTATATGATCCACTTCCTTTTGTGGTGGAACAAACACTCCACAGACAGAAGACAACTATGCAATGGAAACCTAGTGACACTAAGCAGCAGCCAGAACGCATCAAACCTATCCTGGCCATATATTTCATTATTCGTATTTGCAGGAGTTCTGAGAATCCTCTAGGCATGTGTTTGTTTTGGGTTATTTGAAGGCCATAATCCACCGTATTGTTTTCATGATTAACGTTGATCTGCTCTTGCAATGTAATTATTATTATTATTATTTTTTTTTTGTAATTTCCCTTATTTAGGGATTATTCAATTTGATAGATTTATCTTCAAACAGATTTAGCATGTAGATATACATTTATAAAATAATTAAATATGAGGCAGAGAGGAGGGAAGGGAGTATGTTAATTGTTACTAAGCTTTTTTTAATACAATATATAGCCATTGCACGGCTAGTTTGCATTGTTTAGAATGCAACATATGATGGCGTAGGCAGTGCTATTGTCTGACAAAAAGAAAGTGAAACACAATAACAAGTAAAAAATGTAAATGTAGCAACCTGTGCATTTAACAATTTAGAGAAAATAAATATTTTAATTAACGTAGAGAACTTATGTCATTTTTGTTTATTTACAATCTCTTGTCCCATCTAAACAGGAGACAGACCTTCTGGAGGAGGAGAAATCCACCCTGGAGGCCGAGATTGATGAACTACGCAGACAGAAGGAACAGCTGGAGTTTGCCCTTCTTTCCCACCGGCCGGGATGTAAACTGCCATATGAGGACCCTGACCTACCCCCAACGGACCCAACCACATCTTATACACACGGAGCTCTACTGCCTGCCTACCCTTCCCAACAAGAGGTATCCTTCCCTGTCTGTTTGCCCCCGCTGCCGGACTTAGACTGTGCCGTCGGCGTGGGATCTTATACCTCTTCATTTGTGTTCACCTCACCAGAGGCAGGAGCCTGCGGAGCCCGGTACCAGCGCAGCAGCGGGAGTGAGCGCTCATCCTCAGACTCACTCAGCTCCCCCTCGCTCCTGGCACTCTGAAACATAAACTTTTGTTCTCCTCCTCCTCTCATTTTCTGAATCCGTCAGCCATGTGTACTTCTCTCCGCACAAACCCTCTCCACCTCACTCCAGCTAGTTCAGATCACTGCCTCATCTTTTACTTTGCTCATCTTGCACAGCCCCATTGTCTTCCTCACCCTGTGTCATCGCCTTCCATGCTGTTGTAATTCTCTCTCTCTCTCTCTCTCTCTCTCTCTCTCTCATTTTTGCAATTTTATCTATTTTTTATAATAGTCTAAAGCAGTGGATTTCAAGGACCATCTACAGTCCAGGTTTTATCAGTATCGCGTTTAAGTGAGAATAAAACCTGGACCATTTTTGGTTTGACAGCTAGGGCGAAAGCAATCCTTTACCCTCTTTGTTTTCAGCCATTCCTCTCCTAATTCCTTTCCTGTAACCTAGCCTTATCATTTTTATGTTCTGACCTGTCTTTACAAAAACAAAGAGAATGTTTACTTTGTTTCTACCTGACCCCTGCTTCTCTGACATCTCTTCTGATCTGCTAAAAGTCTCCATACGTTTTCCTTTCCGGCAAACTCATACACCCATTTAAAATAAATCCTTTTCACCATCTCCTTCTACCTTGTCTCCATTTTCCAATCACATAACCCCATCATCTTTATATGGAGCTGTGGGGGAGCGTTCAGTGTTGTCAAGAAGATTCTAGCTTGCTACATTCCACTTCAAAGACCAGCACACATTCAGACCGTAGACCCGGAGACTTCAGGCACCGGAATCCTTTGCCGCAGCATGAACACGGGACAGCCAGAGAACGGACTCCTTTTCTCCAACTGCCATGAAACTAATGTCGTTTGTTAGGGTTGTAAAGTGGTGGGTGATGTGGAGGTTAGTTACTCATAACTGCACAATATGGTGCTTGTGGGAGAGAGAAACAAAACTAGTTCTCTTCTGCCAGAGAAAGACTTGGAGAAAGCAGTAGCTCTGCTCCACCTGCCGCAAAGGGTCGTGCAGAGCTCTGCGCCCCCTCTCTGATAGTGGCCTCCAAAACATTTAAACCCTTCCCAGTTAGAGACAGAACAAAAAAAATCAAAAAAAAATCTATCACAGCAAAAATCCAACATCACAGGGACCAGAATGAATTGCACATGGATTCAAAATGGCCAGAATAATGACAATGTAACCTCATATTAGTGAGGATCCTGCACTGGTGGTGTTATGTATGTAAACGCTTCCGTGTTACTTGTACAAACATGCAAACAAGGTGCAATGACTCTTGCAAAGCAAATATAGTGTATTCACATCTAAATGCATATGTGTGTATATAATATACACGTGTGTATAAATAAATATATAGTATGATGTGTGTTTCCATGTACATGTATATAATGGATGTGTATATAGTTATATATACACATACGTGCATTTAAATGGAAAACTTTATATTGAGATATAACCATATTTTTCTATATATTTTTTAAAATATATATAATATATATAAAAGCTTATTTATATGTTATATATAAAGTATACTATGAGAGAATATAGTGTGACATGTACATAAACACATGCTATATATTTATATACAGTTACCCAAGTATAATATATCATAAATTAGTGTGTATATAAATATTTCATTAAATATATATTATTTTTTTTGATATATATAAATATATTTTTTATATATAGAAGTATTTATATGCACACATTTCATATGTTATATGCCGCATAATACTTATATATACACAACTATCTATAAGTGGGTATATATCCGTTTACACATTGGTTAATCTTTTTTATTTTTCTATAAATTAGAATTATGGTAATATAAAATTTGTGACTTCATAATTTTTGCAGCATTTAGGTCAAATGATTAAATGGAATATTAATACATAAATTTCAATATAATACATACATATCTGCCCAGATATCTATATATGTACTAAAGTGTAACGTAAAAGACTTTCGCTATTAGGCTGTTTAGACAAGTCAGTTGGAACACCTATGAACTGATCGTTATTGTAACAATGGCATCTAGACCTGTCACCTGAGTGATATTGCACCTGCTCTGTTTTCTATGTTCAAAGTAAGTGCACATACTTTGAATAGTTTGTATGTGAGAAAAACAATTTCACCTTTTAAATTATACACAAGATATATATTTCTAGATATTCCGTAAAAATGCACACACTGCCCTTTGCAGCCTGGTAACGTGGGAGGCGGAGTATATGTAGAAAGTTGCTTCACTATTACTGTGTTAGTGATTTTTGTGTAAGTAGGATAAATTACTATATATAAATATATATTTTTTTCATTATGGTATATGTCTTTATGGAACAGTGATCAATAAATCTTTAAAGAAAAAAATTGTGTTTTCTTTTCTTTCAAATGTTGAGAATATGGTTTTTACAGTAAACTTGTATCACACATCTTCAGAAAAAGGTCAGTTCTGGAGCAGTTCTCCTGAATCTAAAAGTGGTATAATCTTCAGGAACATTCCACTGGTTTGCATGGTAAGTACTCCATGTCTGTTTTACGCACAACCCCTAAGGTATTTTCTTAAAGGGACACTATATTCACCAGAACAACTAAAGCTTAATGTAGTTGTCCTGGTATCTATAGCCAATCTCTGCAGGCATTTTAATGTAAACATTGCCTTTTCAGAGTAGTAGTACATTTGCAAAATAAATTCACATGCTTTTTTTTTTATATATATTTTTACCGCAAGTCAAAACTAGAAGCAGCATGCACATCATAAAATATATTATCAAAGGGACACTTCAAACACCTAAAGTACTTTAGCTTGCTGAATTGCTTCATGTATGAAGAGTTTTTCCTCTGTTTTTCATTTTAGAAAGAATGCAGGTTTTAATAGAAATTGTCACTTTTTAAAATTAACCTTGTTACACCCCTTGGCTGTCAATAAGGTCCTGTTCCTGGTTGGGTTAGCTCGGTGGAGCTAAACTCGAGAGGCAGCAATAGCCCAGAGCACATGCCTTGCAAAGACTAAGCTGCACTGGGGAGTCCATGATTGGACAGACACGGAAAGTCTTGGCGGGTTAGAAGCGGAGGGCACACAAGAGAATTGTAGCTTCCACAAACTGTTTTTAGATATAACCTCAATGAACAATGCATACTTAAATGAGTAGTGATACAGACTATTGAGTGCAAAAATTCCTAACCATGTGTACCCTTGAGTGATCGTTAACAAATAAATGCTAAACAACTTGTATACAGAATGCACACTCACAATAATATCAAAATCTTGTAAAGTGCAAATCAGTGTACGCGTACATAGGATTCCATGAATCTCAGAGGCACAGACTGTCATGGCAAGGGTGTATAATTTATTATTACCATATGGAATATTATGCTTTAATGTAATTTGTGTAGTAAATGGCAGAAATTACAGAGATGGTATTGTTGAGGTCAAAAGGGGTTACATCTTTTGAAGCTGGGACCCCCACAGAGGTCAGATGACTATAGATAGATAGATTTTACTATATGGATGTGAAGTAATCAAGGAGCTGCAAGGTGTGAGGTTCTACACTTGGAAAAAGTCTGAATGTCCATTCATCCATTTGGCATGTACCTTGTAAAGTCTAGTTCAATCATTGGATATGGTAATGGGATTAGTTTCATGAAGATCCTTGTGTTCCAGTATTTTATCCAAGAGAAACATTAATTCTTACAGTTTAATAATTAAGCCTAATTTTTTATTATATTTGAAATGGGATAAGCCCACTCTCTTAATTAAGCCTAAACATGAGTTGCACAACTTAAACCGTGTGGCAGGAATTGTGCTGTCTGTCCTATTGGATCGTGGGTGGGTCATGCAACACGTCTATGGAATGGGAAAATAATAAAAAAATTCATAGAGGCAATTATTATTTCTGTGGCAAGTACAGTAGAGGAGATAAAACCAAAAGTTTATATTTGGCTTGTTTTCTGGAACAAAGGAGGTAGTCACTTAGTATCTCTATGGGTACACCTTAACTCCACCCCTGGGCAAGACTTGATAAACCACATATATATATATCTAATGATCCTGAATGGTGTTTGTGTACTTGCTTGGGGCCAAGATCTAATTTTGAGTGAGTCACCATCTTTCCTTGCCAGAGACCCCCTGGACAGAAGTTGTACTTTGAAAACCTAAGTGAGTAATTAGGACTTCTGTATTTTATCCTTTTTGTTTTTATCTGTTGTTGGTGTAAATAATTTGTTTATCATATATTGTTATATGCACTGTGATCTTTTGCTCATAATAAACATTCATTTATTAAGTTCTGCCTTTGTCTGGTTAAGAATCACGTTACCTGAAGAGACTAGTTAGTATTTCTGTAATTCCTTAAATATTGTATTAAGTAATATTTGGTGGGTTTTATTATTGATTTACCTGGGGGACTAAGGCACCCCATTTATAAATTGTCTTGGTGGTGGCAGCGTTAAAATAGTAATAGTTATATCATTATGTTTAAGTGTGGGTGGTGTAAAAAGGGGGATTTTGTCATTATTTCCGGTCTAGTGCAGACAAACAGTGAAGTTTAACCCTTTCGCCACCACAACTACGTCACGCACACTCTTGGAGTAGGGTGCGTTCGTGACACAGACTCCCCACCAGTTTGTCGGTGCCTCTGAGAATCATTGGATCCTACTCACTCAAGGGGCTGACGGTGTGTGAGTGGCACTCAATCTACTCCTTTCTTGGGAGTCTGAGCCTTCTAGATAGGTTTATCTGGTGTTCGTTACATTTTCCAGCAATATTGCACTAGATTTGTCTTTTATTTTATATTATTTTAGGTAACCTGAAATCCAATAAGGGATTTTGTGCAAGGACAGGTTCTTACCCTGTTTGTGTAAGATCACATACCTATTAAGGGTGGGTGGTACGCAAGAGTTGTGTTGCAATATGCACTATTACACTATATTTATGTATTTTGACACTGATTTGCACTTTATAAGGTTTGGATATTCTTGTGAGTGTGCATGCTGTACGCTCTTTGTTTAGCACCTTATTGTATTAAGTAATATTTGTCAGTTGTCACTTAAGGGTACACTTGGTTAAGCGTTTTTTTGTGCCCCATATTCTGTATCACTTTATTATTGCTTTACCACGATTTTAATTTGGTCGCTGCAGGAAAAGTGCTTTTCGTGTTTTATATTTTTACTATACATGGTACTTGCACTTTAAATGATTGCACCACTTTATTGTTTGTTTTTAGTTGGTAAATAAATGCATGTTTTCATTGGGGGTATTATAAAAATTTATCATTTGGGCTGTTGATTGTCCCTTTAATTTGAAACAGAGCAGGGTCCCTGTGGCTGATGTGAACATGCCTGGATCAGAGATTTGGTCTCTGCTAATCCCTTAATGTGTAGCTAGCAGGTGTCTGCTTATTGTATAAATTCATACCCTGCTTCTTTCTTAAATTTATTTAGATTTATGTAACTATTCCCTGCTGGCTGGGCGCCCAGTGGCTGGATATTGCATTAGCAACAGTCTGTGAAACATTAATTCCTGTCCTATTCCTGGGCTTTTGCAGGAAAGTTTTAAAATGAAACTCGTTCTTATCAGTTTAGGATATTAAAGGGACACTGTAGGCACTTTAACAACTTCTCTTAATTGAAGTTGCTAAAGTTCTGCCACCCCTTACCTCCCCACATCCCCCCCCAAAAAAATAAATCCCTTTAGTACACTAATTAGATGGCATGGAAGCATGACTTCAATCTACGCCTTAAAGCCGTCTGGTTATGAGTGACGTGAATCTTTACTTCCAAGTTCACATACCATGACGTCATGCGCGCATGCACAGTGCCATCACGGTTAGTCATAGAGAATCATTGTATTCAATGATTTTCTATGGCAAAATGTTAGAACCGAGTGGCGCACTTGCGCCTTAAGTCTCCTCTATGTGGAGCATTTGATTGGCCAGTCACCCTGGAAGCATGTCTAGAGAGGAAGTTGCACAAAATTGTGGTCCAGGCACTCAGATCAGTTGAACAGCAAGTTTATTGGAAAAGTACAATGTTTCGATCCCACAAGAGATCTTTCTCAAGCTTAAGATCACTTGTGGGATCGAAACTTTGCACTTTTCCAACAAACCTGCTGTTCAACTGATCCTTGATTTGCTGAACCACAATTTTTGTTTACCTATTACAGTAGGGGTAGCCAACCCCAGGTCTGGTTGCACAAGGATTTTAATAAGTGTGTGGTTTTCCCCTTTGTTTATATACAAAGAGGAGGTTGCGGCAGTGCCCTGGTAGACTCGGCGCTGGAGAAAAGATTTGTAATTTGTTTTATTACTTATTAAAAAAAAAAAAAAAAAATTCTACAGGGGGAGGGGGGACTTACATGACAAGGGACTCCAGAGCTGTAGTGCTAGGAATACAGAAATGTATTCCTGATGCTACAGTGTTCCTTTTAAGGAGGATTTTAAATCGAATAAACCAGCTACCTCTTTAACTTCTCCTCCGAAGTGACCCAATTTCTACTAAAACATATTAGGTACTATAGGGGTTATTACCCTGTGCCTGCCTGGGGTGCTGCCCCTATTACCGTGCTGCTCTTTGGAGGTCGCCCAGGGCCGGCGCGTCCATAAGGCGGCACAGGCGGCCGCCTTAGGGCGCACCGGCTCTGGGGGCGCAAAATTCCAGTGACCGGCAGGAGGGAAGTGCTCCCTCCTGCCAGGTCACCTCCTGGATCCCCGGCGCGGCTTGCGGCTGAATTGGATGCCGAGGGAGCTCTGATCTCTCTGATCTGCTCCCTCGCAGGCTGCTGACTGATGACGTCATATTCCCGCTCCCGCGGCATCAGTCAGCAGCCTGCGAGGGAGCAGATCAGAGAGATCAGAGCTCCCTCGCCACCTAGGAATCCAATTGCCTCCCAGCAGCCCCACTGGACCACCAATGAGAGACCCACGCCAGCTCTCCAGGTAGGGAGGCTGGGTGGGAAATTTAAATTTAATTAAGATTTTTAATTTCTGTGTGTGTGTGTGCATGTGAGTATGTGAGTCTGTCAGTGTGTGTGTGACTATGTGAGTTGTGTGTGTGTGTGTGAGTGAGTATGTCTGTCAGTGTGTGTGTGAGTGAGTGTGTCTGTCAGTGTGTGTGTGTGTGTGAGTGAGTGTGTCTGTCAGTGTGTGTGTGTGAGTGAGTGTGTCTGTCAGTGTGTGTGTGAGTATGTGTGTCTGTCAGTGTGTGTGTGACTATGTGACTGAGTTTGTGTATGTGTGAGTGAGTGTGTGTGTGAGTGAGTATGTCTGTCAGTGTGTGTGTGAGTGAGTGAGTCTGTCAGTGTGTGTGTGAGTGAGTGTGTCTGTCAGTGTGTGTGTGCATGTGAGTA